AGGATAAAGTTAAAGGGTTTGCAGGTTAGTGCATAGAAAATAAGGGGCAGGACACAGAGAATTGGTAAAAAAAAAAAAAAAAAAAAAAAAAAATATATATATATATATATATATATATATATATATATATATATATATATATATATATATAGACACAACTGCCTGGTATGTCTCAGTGGTTGAGCACTGATCTATGAACCAGGAGGTCACAGTTCAGACTGATTCCTGGTCAGGGCACATGCCCGGGTTGCAGGATTGATCCCCAGTGTGTGGAGGGAGGAGACAGCCGATTAATGATTTTTCTCTCACCATTGATGTTTCTATGTCACTCCGATCTTCCTTTTCTTCTGAAATAAATAAAAACAAAATTATAAATGAAAAAAATATATAAGAACAAAAACTCAGGCTAAAATAAAAAACCTGAGTAGAGGGATGAAGTACTACTGGGAGAAGTGGATCAGAGAGGAAGACCTGGTTGGCTAAAGTGTGTGACACTGAGAGCAGAATGATGACATAAAGAGAACCGGGATTTCAGGAAGAACAGAGAAAGAAAATAAAAAGCAGAGACAAGATCACCTATGTTTTCAGATAACACATTTTTGTTTTGAAAAAGAGGGTAATGTTTAAAGAGAACTTTGTGAATGGGTGTTCAGCCTGGGGTGACACATGTGAGTTTGTTGTTGTGTCATACCCTCAGCTTCTGAAAGATTCTGCACTGTGTTAAGTAACCAAAAGGGTATTTTGCAAGAAGATATGTAAAATCAGCATGTGTGTGTTCAACTTGAGAGAAATACCTTTGACAATTAAGGAACTTCATGGGTGTCAGAACCTTAAATTGGATCTGAGAATTTGAAATGAGGTGAAAGTAAGAGAGGACAATCCAAAGAATGATATGCAAATTATATGGACACAATATGTAATGAGAACATGCCAGCCAACATGACCAAGGCCACACGATTAGGAAAGGATAATTGTGTTCAGTGAGTGTTTATGCTGTGACGTGGAGGCAGACGTGCTTCTCCTTAGACACACACACTGTCATGGATCGCAGGGGCTCTAACCAGACAGCTGTGCTGGCTCCAAATTTTCACAAATATGAGCATCTCTGGCGTCAGCAAACAGATTAACGAGCTGCCTCAGGGCCACGAATCTCTTGGAATGAAACTCAGGAATGGTCACATGATTTGGCACCTGCTGGCTCAGGTATATAAGCTCCATTCTCCCCACTCGCTGGAACTCACTCTCAGGATCTCATCTTGAACAGAAACACACTCCCCCTGACACCATGAGCTACTATGGCAGCTACTACGGAGGCCTCGGCTACGGCTGGGGTGGCCTTGGCTATGGCTATGGCTCCGGCTGGGGCTGGGGCGGCCTTGGTGGCCTGGGCTGTGGCTATGGTTATAGGAGCTACAGCTGCTGGCGTCCGTGCTGCTGTGGGGGATACGGATACTCTGGCTTCTACTGAGATCCTGCCCAGCAGCTCAGCACCTGAACTCACAAGGGACTTCCTCCCACATTGGATCTAAGTAACCGGACAACTAACCTCATGCTGGTTCTTCCACAAACGTCTTTACTTCTCAGAATTATGGGTAGATTTTCAACTGTGCCTGCATCTCCATCATAAGCCTGGGATCCTCTACTTTTTCTGTCAGAACTGATTGGACTGTCTGTTCACCTTCCAATAAAGCATTAAACTTGAAAACAGAGAATGGTTTTTGTTTTATTCATGAAATGCCATTATGAGGACGTGGTTCTGGGCTCATCCACTCCACTGATCAATGGGGAAGCACCCTTCCTGGCTAACAGTCTTTCTTTTCCTTCTCACACTCACAAGCATGCAGAGAGGCAGGAAATAGATGTAAAGATTAATAAGTCTACATGAAATGGAAAAAATGTTTTGAAACTACGAGCAATTTAAATTCTTCAATTTCTTGATTTTATTCATAAAACATTCAGACTTAAGTCAACCACAAATAGCAATGAATATTTAACATATCTACCTAGTTATTTATCAATATATGGATTTTATTTAATTCAACTAACACTTCCCAATTCAATCCTTAAATTCATTCAAAATTGGTTCATGTTTTTAATTTTTCTTTTAATTTCAAGGATGGAGAGGGAGATAGAAGCATCAAGGATGAGAGAGAATCATTCATTGATCTGTTGCCTGTTCCATGACACTCTCTGGTGACTGAACGTCATTCTGGGCATGTGTCCTTGATGGAATCAAACTTGGGGCCCTTCAGTCCACATACCAATCCACAGTACAATGAGCCACAGCAAGATTAGAATTTTTTCTCTGATAATAAAGGGGTAACTGGGACATATATTTTTGATGAAATAATAATAATTAAAACAACAGATGGACTGAAATACCATTCCTTTCCTAGAATCAAATAATATTGTCAGAGAGTAATATAACATGAAGATATTTTGTTTAAATTGCTATAATTGGTCAAATATGTGTGCCTGAGTCTATACTGGTAGATACTCCCTACAGCTGTGCAGACAGAATTTAATTCTTCAGTCACTCAGCAAATATGTTGTGTTTGAAAAACTGAGAATATATTCAGATGAGAGGGAAATGTATTATCAAAAATGTAACTTATGCCCAGCCTGCATGTCTTAGTGGCTGAGCATTGACCTATGAACCAAAGGTCATGGCTCAGTTCCCCATCAGGGCACAGCTGGGTTGCAGGCTTAGTTCCCAGTGGGGGGTCATGAGGAAGCTGCTGATCAATGATTCCTTGTCATCATTGACGTTTCTATCTCTCTATCCCTCTCCTTCATCTGTGTATTAACAAAAGAAAAAACAAAAAGAAAACAAAACAAAAAAAAAAAGAGAAAAGAAAAGAAAAATTATGTTACACACTATGGGGCCTCTTGTAGAGTACTCTTGATGGTCAAGGCCACGCTGAGGGTGAGAATCCTAATCAAAGTGTTCAAGGTTGAGTTTCTATATGCAAGTGCAAGGCAAGGATGCGTTAAGCGATACACAGCTGCCACCTGCCACTGATGTTTCTATTTGGCAAAAACCTTTTTTCTTTGAGAGTGTTTGGGCATGTATGTGAGGAGCCACTGACCAGACTCCTGTGTGTCATGTCCCAATTGCCTGCTTGTACCCGCGTGTCCTTCCAATCCCCCTCACCCAGAAGGGTCAAGTCCTGGCTGAGAAGCTTGCCTCTGACACTTATAGACCTCAAAATAGATAAAAACAAAACAAAAACAGTACCACCTACAGAACAAAGCCCTGGGTACATGTTAAAGTCATATAAGGCACACATAATGGTAAAGTCCAGCTCAGGCATGTGCACACTGCAGTAGGGCTTCGCCTTGAATCCTGGGCTCTCACTCGGGTTTCCTCAGGAGCCGAGGAAATTCGCAGAAGGCTGCCGGCTAACCTCTATAATACTTGTTTTTGTCTCAGTCACATCCTCGCTGCCATGTTTATTTTTTGCAGCATTTCCAGACATCAAGACTGCAGAGACTCTGATTAAATATTATATATTAAGATTTCTGAAGTCTTTTTAATTTAAAACCCTGAAGAATTAGAATATCTTATTGAAAATGTTTGGGTTTGAGTGAAAAGAGAAAGGGGCACAGAGTCGGTAATGTTGTGAGAAGTTTGCACAGTGACAGGTGATTGCCAGGTCATTCCTGGGGCAGCCATTGTGAGGAATACACATGCTGAGTCATTATATTGTGATTAATACAACCCATGTCAGATTCCATGCCAACCATTCTGAAATAAAACATAAAATGAACATGTTTGCTGATTGGTGAATAGAAAATAAGGGGCAGGACACAGAGAACTGGTAAAGACAAAATCGGCCAGTGTGTCTCAGTGGTTAACCATTGACCTATGAACCAGGAGGTCACAGTTCAGTTTGGTTCTTGGTCAGGGCACATGCCCAGGTTGCAGGTTTGATCTCAGTTTGTGGTGAAGAGGAGGCAGCTGATTAAAGATTCTTCTCTCAGCATTGATGTTTCTATCTCTCTCCATCTTCTTTTCCTCTAAAATAAATAAAAACAAAATTATTAAAGAAAAAAATAAATATAAGAACAAAAACTTAGGCTAAAATTAAAAACCTGAGTGAGGGATGAAGCACTGATGAGAGAACTTGATCAGAGAGAAAGACCTGGCTCCTGTGTGTGGGACTGAGAGCAGAATAATGACATAAAGAGAGGCTGGATGGGACAGACGATGGTGGGATTCCAGGAAGAACAGAGAGAGAAAAGAAAAAGCAACTGCAAATCAGAGACACAATCTCCTATATTTTCAAATAACAGGTTTCTGTTTTGAAAAAGAGGGTAATGTTTAGAGAGAACTTTGTGAACGGGGGTTCAGCCTGGGGTGACAGGTGTGAGTTTGTTGTTGTGGTCAGACCCTCAGCTTCTGAAAGGCACTTACTTCACTGTGTTGAGTAACCACAAGGGTATTTTGCAAGAAGATATGTGAAATCAATATGGTTTTCTCATACGCGTGTTAAACTTGGGAGAAATACATTTGACAATTAAAGAACTTCATGGGTGTCAGAATCTTAAATTGAATCAGACTATTTGAACTGAGATGAAAGAAAGAAATGAAAATCCAAGAATGATATGCAAATTACAAGGACACAATACATAATGAGAACACGCCAGACAACATGACGAAGGCCACACACTTAGGAATGGAGAGTTGTGTTCAGTGAGTGTTTTTTCCGTGACGTGGAGGCAGATGTGCTTCTCCTTAGACACACACACTGTCATGGGTCGCAGGAGGTCTAACCAGGCAGCTGTGCCAGCTCCAAGTTTTCATCAATATGAGCATCTCTGGCGTCAGCACACAGATTAACGAGCTGCCTCAGGGACACAAATCTCTTGGAATGAAACTCAGGAATGGTCATGGGATCCAGCACCTGCTGGCTCAGGTATATAAGCTCCTCGCTCCCCACATGCTGGCACTCACTCTCAGGATCTCATCTTGAACAGAAACACACTCCCCTGACACCATGAGCTACTATGGCAGCTACTACGGAGGCCTCGGCTACGGCTGGGGTGGCCGTGGCTATGGCTATGGCTCTGGCTGGGGCTGGGGCGGCCTTGGTGGCCTGGGCTGTGGCTGTGGCTACAGAAGGTATGGCTGTGGCTGCTGGCGCCCGTGCTGCTGTGGGGGATACGGATACTCTGGCTTCTACTGAGATCCTGCCCAGCAGCTCAGCATCTGAACTCACAAGGGACTTCTTTCCACACTTGATCTAAGTAACCGGACAGCTGACCTCATGCTGGTTCTTCCACAAACGTCTTTATTTCTCAGAATTATGGGTAGATTTCCAACTGTGCCTGCATCTCCCTCATAAGCCTTGGACCCTCTACCTTTGCTGTCAGAACTGATTGGACTGTCTGTTCACCTTCCAATAAAGCATTGAACGTGAACACAGAGAATGGTTTTGTTTTGTTCTTGAAACACAATTATGAGGACGTGGTTCTGGGCACATCCACTCCCCTGTCCAAGGGGGAAGCACTCTTCCTGGCTAACAATCTTTCTTTTCCTTCTCACACTCACAAGCACGCAGAGAGGCAGGAAATAGATGTAAAGATTAATAAGTCTACATGAAATGGAAAAAATGTTCTGAAAGTACATGTGTTTAAATATCTCAAGTCCTCGATTTATTCATAAAATATTCAGACGTAAGTCAACAACAAATGGAAACAAATATTTAACATATCTATCAATATATCCATCAATTTATCAACATATGGATTTTATTTAACTCAACTAACACTTCCCAATTCAATCCTTCCATTCATTCAATATTGGTTTATGTTTTAAATGTGTTTTTTTTTTTTAACTTCAGAGAGCAAGGAGGAGGAAGAGGGATATAGAAACATCAAGGATGAGGGAGAATCATTCACTGACTGGTTGACTCCTTCATGCACTTCTCAGGTGATTGAGCCTGCAACCTGGAAATGTGCCCTTGGCCTGAATGGAACTCAGGATCCTTCAGTCCACAGACCCATCTTCTATCCACTGAGCCAAATTAGAGAGAGCAACCCAAAGCATTTTTAACTAAATGTGTCTGTTCCCTTTCTTCTGGTCTCACTGTGTCTCACGGGCATCCTTCCTCACCACCATCACCACACTGAGGAATTAGCTTCAATACCATCAGGGAAAGAAACAACAAGTCATAATTGTGAACCAATTGTTATTTATCTGAAGCTGAAACCAATGAGCTTTCTTAAAAATCTAAATGTCAGCAAGATATGAATTTCTTCTGATAATAAAGGGCAACATGTAGCATATATCTTTGATGAAATGAAAGAACAGATGGGCTAAAATACCAATGCTTTCCTATGAACAATGACATCATGGTTTGATTCCCGGTCAGGGTACATGCCTGGGTTGTAGGCTTGATCCCTTGGGCTTCATGCAGGAGGAGATGATCAATGATTCTCTCTCATCATTGATGTTTCTCTCTCTTTCTCCCTCTCCCTTCCTCTCTGTATTAAGGAAAAAGAAAGAGAAAAGAAAATTAAAAATATGTTACTTATTATGGGGCCCTGTCTAGAATACTCTGGATGTTCAGGGTCATTCTGAGCATGAGAATCCTAATCCAAGTGTTCAAGGTTGAGTTGCTACATGCAGGCATAAAACAAGGATGCATTAAGCCAAGTTATTTTCTGTAGCCAAAATACTGATGTTTCTATTTGGCAAAAAGCCTCTTTTGTTTGATCATGTGTGGGCATGTATATAAGGAGCCACTGACCAGCCTGCAGTGGCTGCTGTTGTGTGTAATAAAGCATGTCCCATATGTCTGCTTGTACCCTCATGTTCTTTTGATTCCCCTCACTGAGAAGGGTCAAGTCCCGGCTGAGGAGTTTGCCTCTGACACTTAAAAACCTCAAAACAGAACAAAAATCCCAGTACCACCTACAAAACGAAGCCCTGGGTATATGTTTAAATCTGTGAAGCACACAATGGTACAGACAGAGCGCAGGCGTGGGCACACCCCAGTAGGGCCTCACCTTGAACCCTGGGCTCTCACTCGGGTTTCCTCAGGAGCTGGGGAAATTTTCTGAAGGCTGGTGGCTACCCTCTGTGATATTTCTGTTTTTTGCCTCTGTCACATCCTCCCTGCCATGTTTATTTTTGTGTGTGTTCAGTATTTGCATTTTTCCAGGCATCAAGATTGCAGGTGACTCTGCTTAAAATCTCTCTCTATATAAAAGCCTAATCTTCTGAGCTACTGAATGACTCATCCACTGGTCGCTGTGATGCACACTGACAAACAGGGGACAGATGCTCACCACACAGGATTGGGGTTCCTGCTCTCTGGATCGGGCCTGAGGGGATCCTGCCAAAACTATTGTAGTTCTCTGACATACCTAGTGGTGTCCCAGACTGCAAGAGGGCACAGCCAGACCAAGGGACCCCACCAGTGCACAAATCCATGCACCAGCCCTCTAGTATTATATTATATTAAGACTTCAGAAGTCTTTTTAATTTAAAACCCTGAAGTATTAGAATATCTTATTGAAATTGGGGGTTCAGTGAAAAGGGAAAAGGGTACAGAGTCGGTAATGTTGTGAGAGGTTTGCACAGTGACAGATGATTGCCAGGTCATTACTGGGGGTGGCCATTGTGAGGGATAAAAATGCTGAGTCATTATATTGTGCACCCGAAACTAACACAATTAATGTAAGATGCATGCCAACTATTCTAAAATAAAACACAAAATGAACATGTTTGCTGATTGCTGAAAAGAAAATAAGGGGCAGGACACAGAGGATTGGTAAAGAATATATGGACACAACCGGCTAGTATGTCTCAGTGGTTACACATTGACCTATGAACCAAGAATTCATGGTTTAGTTTGATTCCTCAGCAGGGTACATGCCTGGGTTTTAGGCTTATTCTCCAGTAAGTAGTGGGCTGGAGGCAGCCGATTAATGATTTTAATCCAACAATTGAAATTTCTATCTCTTTCCCTCCTACTTTTCCTCTGAAATCAAGAAAAAAAAAATTTTTTTTAAAAATAAAAACAATACATATAAGGAAGAAAAATCAGGATAAATTAAAAAACTCTTCTAAGTTCAGATGCTGAGCTTCTGGGCAGGATCTCAGTAAAAGCCAGATTATCCTTATAAGGAGTAGAGGGATGAAGTGCTGATGGGAGAACTGGATCAGAGAGTAAGACCTGGCTTGTGTGAGTGTGTGGGGACTGAGTTCAGAATAATGACTTAAATAGAGGCTGGATGGGACAGACGATGGTGGGATTCCAGGAAAAGAGAGAAAGAAAATAAAAAGAAACTGCAAAGCAGAGACAAGATCACCTTAGTTTCTAGATAATACGTTTCTGTTTTGAAAAAGAGGGTAATGTTTAGAGAAACTTTGAATGGGTGTTCAGCCTGGTGTTACACGTGTGAGCTTGTTGTTGTGGTCAGACCCTCAGTTTCTGAAAGGCATTTCACTGTGTTGAGTAACCCAAAGGGTATTTTGCAAGAAGATATGTAAAATCAGCATGGTTTTCTCATGTGTGAGTTCAACTTGGGAGAAATACCTTTGATAATTAAGGAACTTCATGGGTGCCAGAATCTTAAATTGGATCTGAGTATTTGAACTGAGATGAAAGTAAGATAGGACAATCCAAAGAATGATATGCAAATTACAATGACACAATATGTAATGAGAACACGCCAACCAACATGACGAAGGCCACGCACTTGGGAATGGAGAGTTGTGTTCAGGGAGTGTTTGTTTATTCTGTGACTTGGAGGCAGATGTGCTTCTTCTTAGACACACACATTGTCATAGGTTCCAGGGGCTCTCATCAGGCAGCTGTGCCGGCTCCAAATTTTCATAAATATGAGCATCTCTGGCGTCAGCACATAGATTAACGAGCTGCCTCAGGGCCACGAATCTTTTGGAATGAAACTCAGGAATGGTCACATGATTTGGCACCTGCTGGCTCAGGTATATAAGCTCCCTCCTCCCCACTCGCTGGCACTCACTCTCAGGATCTCATCTTGAACAGAAACACACTCCCCTGACACCATGAGCTACTATGGCAGGTACTACGGAGGCCTCGGCTACGGCTGGGGTGGCCTTGGCTATGGCTATGGCTCCGGCTGGGGCGGCCTTGGTGGCCTGGGCTGTGGCTGTGGCTACAGAAGGTATGGCTGTGGCTGCTGGCGCCCGTGCTGCTGTGGGGGATACGGATACTCTGGCTTCTACTGAGATCCTGCCCAGCAGCTCAGCACCTGAACTCACAAGGGACTTCCTCCCACATTGGAGCTAAGTAACCAGACAGCTAACCTCATGCTGGTTCTTCCACAAACGTCTTTACTTCTCAGAATTATGGGTAGATTTCCAACTGTGCCTGCATCTCCCTCATAAGCCTGGGATCCTCTACCTTTGCTGTCAGAACTGATTGGACTGTCTGTTCACCTTCCAATAAAGCATTGACCTTGAACAGAGAATGGTTTTGTTTTGTTCATGAAACGCAATTATGAGGACGTGGTTCTGGGCACATCCACTCCCCTGTCCAAGGGGGAAGCGCCCTTCCTGGCTAACAATCTCTCTTTTCCTTCTCACACTCACAAGCATGCAGAGAGGCAGGAAATAATGTAAAGATTAATAAGTCTACACTGAAATGAAATAAATGCTTTGAAAGGGCAAATGTTTTAAATCTCTCAATTCTTTGATTTATTCATAAAATATTCAGATGTAAGGCAACAACAAATAGCAATGAATATTGAATATATATCTATTTATTTATCATTATATGGATTTTATTTAACTCAACTAAAAATTCTCAAGTCAATCCCTACATTTATTCAATGTTTGTGTTTTTAATGTTTTTATTAATTTCGAAGAACAAGGAGGAGGAAGAGGGTAATAGAATCATCCATGATTAGTTGCCTCCTGCATGCCCCTTTTTGGTGATTGAGCCTGCAATCTGGGCATATGCCCCTGCCATGAATCCAACTGGGACCCTTCAGTACACAGACCCATTCTCTATCCACTGAGCCAATCTAGAGAGAACAACTCAAATCATTTTTAACTAAACGTGTCTGTTCCCTGTCCTCTGCTCTCACTGTGTCTCACTGGCATCCTTCCTCACCACCATCACCACAGAAGCATTAGCTTCAATCCCATCAGGGAAAGAAACAATAAGATATAATTGTGAACCAATTATTATTTAGCTGAAGCTGAAACCAAAGATATTTCTTAAAAATCTAAATTTCAGCAAGATCTGATTTTCTCCT